AGTTTGAATGTCCATGAATATCTCTCATCGTGATGCCGGACCGCATTCGAGGTTATTTATGACCGACTGCGAGTGTGGTCATGGCGGTGCTTTTCTGCTGTTGCAATCCCTGAAACTGAGCTACTATCGTAGTCTCCATGATGTACACCTACTCGCTCATTGAAAGACAGTCGGCGTACAACATTTCACGCCACATTGCTGTGGTAGTCGTTACAATCGAAGGGAGCAAGAACAATAGCGGTACGAGGGAGAAAACGACTAGACCTTCCTAATCGGGAGAGTGGGCGATGGACGTGGCGTTAAAGTTGGGCCATCGGAGCGCCGGAGGGAGGTGGTTCCGTGCAAGTCTCGCCGGGTGCTTGTGCCAGTGCCGAGGACTCTCCGGCATCGCAGCGCTGTTACCCCATCCAAGCCAGCCTACGAAATATCTGTGGGCCATGGCAGGGAGTGTGGTGGGAGTGCCAGCGGAGGGAGATCAGCTATCGCAGGCGAGCTCACCCGAGATGATACGGCGAGTGGACGATTGAACAAAGATGGTAACGACGACCGAGAGCTGAAAAAATCCGAAGGCTTTGTTTAGGTGATCGACGCACAGGTGGCTCGTCCGAGTTTCCCTGTTCAGCGCGCGACGGCCAGATCGATGGCTGCTTGCTCAGGATGCTGGCAGAGGACCCTGCGGGGTAAGCGCAGGTCTCCTCGGCATTTGCAGGTGGCAGCTGCATTTCGACGGCAGGATTCCAGGTATATCTGCACACGGCAGGTGCATCTGCAGCCCCCATCGCAGGCCGCATTTGCAAACCACACTTGCAGACGGCACCTGCAGACGGCAGTGGCCCTGGTTTGGCACTGACGGTGTTGTGCAGCCCCGTTGCTCGCGTGGCCCGCGAGTCGAACATTTCCCGCCCGATCAGGCTGCATAGCGCATAAGAAGCCGCCGCGTGCGTCCCACCCTCGCTCGCCGCGGTTGCTGCTCTCCCCCATCCCCGCCGACCTCAGGGTTCGTCTCCGTGCGATACTTGTACTTATATCCCCCCTTTTGTCTCGCGGACGGTCTTGTTTACAGCTTAGCGATGCCTTCTTCCTCCCCTCAGGCGCAATCGCCTCCCTTTGGATACCTCTCTCCGCCCACGGACTCGAGTGACGCGTGCTCCGAGGACGGCGATACGCTCCAGACTCCTCTGCACGACCACCAGCAGCTTCCGTATCCTGCGATGTATCATCATCCCTCGGACGTGTTCTCTACGTCATCCTTCCACGGCTTTGAGGACGGGACGAACGACCACCCTTCGTTCTCCTCCCTCCTCACGCCGTCCGCCACGGAAAAGCTCTCGACGGCTCACCACGAGAGTGTCTCTGGTTTGTACTTTTCCGAGTCCCCGCCCTCGAGCGCTCTGGACTTGTCGACGAACACGCTCGAGTTTGACCCGTTCGCCGCGTCGTTTGGGACGTTCAACGACGCCCGCGTGCCCTCCTATGGCCCGCCCAGTTCCTCTGCGTCCCATGAACTTCCGCCGCTTCCCGCCTTGTCTCTCCCGCCTCACCCGGACTCACCGCCGCCCCATGGTTTGATGCTGCACGACACAGAGTGCGACCCGCGCCCATCCTTTTCTCGTTCCCCGTACTCCGAGAACACTCACATGCTCAAAGCGCGTATGTTCAACCCCCGGTTCCCGTCTGACCATATCCTCAATTCGTTCTTTGCGCGAAACTACCTTTTGGGCGATGAATTGGGTGCGGGCGGGTATGGGTTCGTTATGACTGCGAGGCATAGGTTGTTGGGACATGAGGTGGCGGTGAAGTTTATTATCAAGGAGAAGGTGCCGGAACATGCTTGGTGGGATGATGAGATTCTGGGACGCGTGCCGACTGAGGTTATGGTCATGAGTTTGGTGAATCATGAGAATATCGTGAGGTGTTTGGATTTGTTCGAGGATGAGAGGTATTTTTACCTCGTAAGTGACGCACGTTGTTCAATGAGATTGAAGTGATTTTAATGCTGATTTTCACTCGGATGTTGTAGGTGCAAGAGTTGCATGGTACACCATGGGTTGCGAAGAAGTCCAAAAAGACAAATCCGAAACAGATCTCCGCTCCCGGCAAACTCGTCGTTCCCTCACCCGTACTCTCAACGCCATCCTTGACGCCCTCGCCTTCGGTAGATTCGAACCTAGAGTCCGAGTCGTTACCTGGTACACCTCCGCAAGTATGTATCGAGGACGTTGATAGTCCTATCGTTGGTCCCCCGCCTGGTCTTCCGCCCCCGGTGTACGACGGCGACGGCTTACATCCACAGAAGAACAAACTACATCCACATTCTGCGTCTTCTTGTCTCCCCTCTTCCTCCTCTTCTCACTCCCTCTCCACCTCCTCCCTCACTCCCTCCTCCCTCACCTCCACCCCACCATCAAACGACCGCCCGACATTCTCCCGTCGAGCCTCGTACGATCTCTTTGAATGTATCGAACAGAGTAAGAATAAACGACTTGAAGAGGGTGTTGCGAGGTATGTGTTTGCGCAGGTTGTGGAGGCTGTGTATTATTTGAGTGAGATGGGGATCACGCACTGCGATATTAAGGATGAGAATTTGGTGGTTGATGCGGAGTTTAAGGTGCGTTTCTCTTTCTTTGGACGTGAATTTGGTTTTTTTGGAGCTGACTTTGGACTTGAATGTGTTGTCGTAGGTGAAACTCATCGACTTTGGGTCAGCACTCATCTCCTATCCCCCTCCCCCCTCCCCTTCCTCCCCCACCTCCCCATCCTCCCATTCTCACCCACACCCCCAAGAAGAATACCACACCCTATTCTTCGGCACCACAGCCTACGCTGCATCCGAGATTCTGCTCAAACAACCTTATCGGGCTGCGCCGGCTGAGATATGGACGTTGGGGGTGTTGTTGAGTTATTTGGTGACTGGGCATTCGCCGTTTGAGACGGAGAGGGATGCGGTTGAGGGGAGGGTTAGGGGGTGGGATGTTTGGGATGGTGAGGGGGATGGTGAACGAGAGGGAGGACAGGAAAAGAGAGAGGGAGGTGGGAATGGGGCCAGGGGTAAGGGAGAAGGAGAAAAAGAAAAGAGAGAGCAAGGTGTGAGTGGGAGCGGGAATGGTGGGAACAAGAACGGGAACGGGAGAGGAGGAAAGATTAGTAGAGCTGCAGTTGAGCTCATGAAGAGGTGTTTGGAGAAGGATCCGTGTAAGCGCGCGGATATTGAGGAGGTGAGAGGACATCGGTGGTTGAGGGGTGCTTTGGAGAGGGGGTGGAGAGGTTAGGTGGGTGAAGGGGGAGAGGTGCCACTTTTTCCTTCGTCGCGTCGCTGGACTCCTGGTTCTCGTCTCTGGAACCCGTCCTGGCCTTTGGACACCAGCTCTCGTCACCGTCATCTCGTCCCATCCTCGTCATCATCGCCTTGTCTTGCCATTCGTTCGATTCTCGTCTTCGTCTTCGTTTCCATCTCATCTCATCATCGTTCTCCTCCTCCTCATCGTCGTCATCCTCACAATCGTCTTTGCCCTCGTCACATTCGTTTTTGTCGCCTTCAACCATCAACGTCATCATCAACGCCTTTGTCCTATTCCACGTTATCATACTCTTCCTACTCTAAGTTTCAGCACCGTCCTCAACCGTCCTCAGTTCCGTCCTCACCGACCTTCAACCTCCTCGGTACCTACCTTCGGCGCCGTCCTCAATACCGTCCTTCACCACCGTGCTGCATCCCGCCCTCAACATCGTCCGCCTCGGCTCCTTTCATGTTCATCGTTCGCTGGTCCTCACCATCGTTCTCTCGCCACGTTAACGTCGTTGTCGTCGTCGTTCATTGTCTTCTTCATTGTCTTTGTCTCTATACCCTTCTTTGTTTTTACCACTAGCAGAACCGTCATCATCACCGTCATCGTCATACCCTGCCAATGTCTGGGTTTTACCAGCACTATCATCGTCATCACTGTCGTCGTCATCGCCATACCCTTCATACACATTTCTCCTCGTCGTCGGCATCTTCCTTTTCGTTTTTCGTTTTTATCATTATCCCTCGTTATTGTCTCTTATTCCAGTTATTATACCCGTGGAGTCCCTCTTCTTTCTCGTTCGACTTTATCTCCAGTCGCATTTGTATTAAGCTTCTAGGTTATGTTATTGTATTACTGTACACCCTTACATCCCTATCATAATTGTGACCTTACTTCAATGTCTTCGGAGGTTATGAATGCATTTTGTTTGTATTCCTGAATGTCATATCCCTCTGTCTCTGTGTGCTCAATACTGAATATTGAATTTGTAGTTCGAACTTTTGGACGGTAAAAAGTAAAGGCGAGAAGATGGGTTATGGAGCTCTTACGGGTGTCAAGGCCTTGTAGTGTAGCGGTTATCACTTCGGATTCTGATCTTACGAAGTTTCCGACAACCCAGGTTCGATTCCTGGCAAGGCCTGGTGCATAGACACAGAGCAATGTTTTTGAACGTCTACTCATTTTTTGTTGCTTTCCGAGCTTTTGAAATTTAAGTTTTGAATGAACTTAAGGCCGTATAAAGGCAACTTATACGTTGTGGTCTGAATGGTATCCTCATATGCATGGCTGTTGTGTTGCAGTGGTATGGATCAAGCCTCAGTCTTGGAGCTTCAAGTTGGAGCTTGAAGTTCGTATACTTGGTACTGTGCAGGCCTTACATCGACGTAAGTAATACCGTTGGTTTGCATCTTCTAACCTTTTAACCTCAGTTCAAGTGGCAGCAGGATTTTCAATACATTACATACTGCATCTTACGGTCATTCATGAGAATTTTAAATCCTACTATCGGCGACGAGCGTAGAACAACTGGACAAGGAACAGCTTTGGACCAATCGTACGAATACTGTCTCTCAGATCTCAACGGCAGAACAGTCGACAGACTTCTACTTCCCATCCTGTAGACTCGGTCACTCGGGTAAAAATGTAATATTTAAACTCGGGGGTCCGAGTTCGGACGTTGGACTTTATCAAAATGGACAGGGCACCACACCGCCAAGGCCTTGCCAGGAATCGAACCTGGGTTGTCGGAAACTTCGTACGATCAGAATCCGAAGTGATAACCGCTACACTACAAGGCCATGTTGACGACAATTATTCTATCATACATATAATACCATCTGCCTGGTTTAGGCTCAAAAGTCTTGAAACGATCGAGCTGTCGGTCCTCGGAGATCACCTCGTCTACGATTACAGTACGCCAACTGGAAGGATCGAAAGTACCCCTCTAGGGATGCGAGAGTTGCCTGGGGAACAGTATATCGACTTGAAGAATCCGAGGCCCCGAGTACGTCCTCTGGGTCAACGCAAACGCGCGATATGGGCCACCGCTCAGCGCTCAGCGCTCAGTGCTCACTGCCTTTCTTTAACCGTGACCTGTAAGGACAACAACATCCCTCCGGAGCTATAGGAACTGAGCATGAAACAGGGACGCGAGTACACTCTGAAGTCGACAAGATATTGAACGGGATGGGATCTGCTGACAGGACCGAATTGCGATTCTGACCAGAAGACCTTCTCCCGAGGTGTCAGCCTCTGCGGCTGACCAGCAGCCCAGAATGCATTTATTATATTTGCGACGCACTCTGTATCCCCCTCCTTCCCATTCCCTCCCGCGACCACCACCTTCTCCCCTCTCCCCCCTCATCTCTTGTGTTTATTATCTATTATTCCTTCCTCTTCTCTTACCCAGAACACATACTATCCCAAGGATTTCGTCGCCAACATGCATCCGGGGGTTCTCCCCTTCCTCCGCATCGCCGGACGCCTTGAAGAGAGGCGTCCTGTAATGCTGGTTCTTATCCTCGTCTTTGGATTCTTCTTGGTATTTGTGGTCTTTCTCTGGCGTTTGTACTGCGGTTTGAGACGTCGCATGGTGAGTGTTCACACTTTGATCGAGGATGGATCCCCCGAGGCTGACGATGACATTGCTTGTAGACGAGACTTCCGGCAACTTATCGCGTTCATGTATCCTCTATCCCTCTTCGTCGTAAAGGCGTAAGTGTTTCTCGACATTGAATGTTTGATATTCTGTGGGCTGACATACTTGCAGCCATCCCCTCGGTTGTCTACCCTCTTGGATCGGTTGAGCAACACCTACCGAAGGAACGAAATGAACATTACTCTGGAGACCGATCTTTCTAGGGCTGAGCGAGAGAATCATGGTCCTCTCATCGCACAGGCAACGGCAAGGGCAGCTGAACTTCAAGTACGCTTCTCATTTTGTGATGCTCGGCAGTGCCAGATTCTGATCCTTGTCTCATAGCGTGAAAATGAACTCATCGCCGCCCAGATTGAACGGATACAGGCTACAACCGAGATGCACAGAAGGGAAATCGACGAGCTTGTCTCTACTGCTCCTCGTACGCTCGACGAGGAGCTTCAAAGGCAAGATGCGGCTACTACTCTGGTACTCTCGGAATTGGATGCACAGGCTACGGTGAACGACGCAACGATCTGTCAAGAGAAGGCCCGCGTTGAACAACTGCGCTCTGGATTCGTCGCGCTTGTGGTCGAGGCCGAACCTGTCTGTAAGGAAGTCGCGAACGAGACTGCCCTTCTCGAAGTCTCAAGACAAACTCTCGCCGACATGAACCCCGGTCAACGCAAGGAGGATGTGCTCAAACTTGAACGCCAGATTCAATTCATCCAATTCGAGATCATGCTGCTCAATGGTAACATGACTCGCGAGGGCATGAGGAACGCGCAACTGGTTCAAGTACGCGACGCTCTCAAGGTCGAATTGGAACAACTTCAACGTGAGACGGCCATCAAGGTTTCTGCGCTCGACGAAGAATACGCTGTCACTGCTGAATCCAACAAGGCCAAACTCGCTGTTACCCGGGCTGAAACTGCTGCTTGTATCACTCGACTGGAGGAAACTCGTGCTCGGACTACGGCTGCTCGCAAAGCTCGCGCTGCAGACTTGAAGCAACGCGAGGAGGAACTGGCTAGACTTGAGCTCAAGGTCAAGACTGAACGCGCCAACATCCTGGCGACTCGGGCTAATCGCAAACTCGTCGAGGAGGAGATCGCCATGCGTCACCAGAATATTCGGAAGTTCGAAACCATTATTCCCGCACTTCAACGGAAGATTCAACTTCATGAAGCTCATCTGGTGATGCCTACCTCGGAGATTCTCAATGTCGAGAGAAAGCGCTACTATTCTGCTAGCCCTAGGACTCCCGAGTTGTCGTACAGTCGCTCTCCTTCGGCTTCTCCTGAGCCTGCGCCTTCGACTCCTGTGGAACCCAGTTGGCTTTGAGACTGCGGCTTTTGAACCGGCAGGTGCTACTTGTGCTTATATGACTTGGACTGTTGGACGACTTGAAGGACATCGGATACCCCCCTTTGCAGGTTTCTCGCGGAACCTCCCAAGTATATCGCTCCAGAAGAGTTTTTATACTTGAGGCTTAGTTTCGACTGGGCTCCTACCGCGAAAGCCTGCACTCGATTATCCGACTGACCTTCACGTCAAACCTTCCTTCGTCTTCATCCACTCAAGCACCCTTCCTCGTAGTACCACCACCACTTAGACCGATCTCGTTCCTCATGGCGTTCTCATCTTTGCATCTGGCACTTGGGCTTACCCTCACATGGAAGAAGAATGATACGAAGCAAACCACTCGCAAACCTTTCCGAATATCCGGTTCTATTTAGACCGCGACATTCGAGGCTTAGTTTCGACTTAGCTCCTCTTGCGAACCCCTGATCTGACTTCTGCTTCAACGAATCTTCGTGATTCCCCCTTCCATTCTCTTCAGCTGCTTGCTCTACCGCCCCTCCCTCGTGCATCATCGACTTCGAGCCCCTCTCACCCCTCGGTCTACCGTCACGGCAACTCGTATAGGACACCCTGAACACTCTGATATTCAACGACGTGCTCTCCTGGGGAGACTCCACTCCTCGTTGATATCGCTGCGATCTGTGATCGCGCGCCGCTCGTTTCTACACACATTCGTTTGCGGTCATACCTTTGGTGTGATCGTTTGGTATTGGTCTTCGGTCTTGGATGTCTCTTCGATGGCTCTTTTCCTCTTTCTCTCTTTTTCTTCTTTCATAGTCTCCCGTGATTGGGATCGAAGTTTGGTTTCTCCTTTTCTCTTTTCTGTTTCACGAGTCTCCCGCGAATGGGATTGAAGTTTGGTTGTCTCATCTATACTATTTTCTCCTAATATGCGTCTTATGTATAATCACACACAATGCAAACAATCATAATCGTCTCTTCATATTATTCTCTTTGCTCGATGACGGTTGGAGCGGGATTGTGAATCACACCGCGTGAGGAGATCGGAATGAATACCGTGAATGTCAACGTGCTACAAGCTCACACAATGCTGGAGTACTGCATCAGTAATATTGTCATTGCTGCACCATCACAACAAGGCTTTCACCACTTTGCTCTTAAATCCTTCGAGCACAAGAGACGAGAGACATAGAGTAACACACTTCCACTGACAATCATCACTCCCTATATTGCGTCGCATCCTTAGTCAATTCTCACTCACGACACATTTCCAGACAAAGCAAGGACACGTACTGCAAAGATTGCAACATGATGATATTCATCGCGAGTCCCGGTCTTGACGAACGCGCCGCCGATAGGAGTTCCGAGGAGCGTGGCTATGGCTGTAGGCAAAAAGAATGTGCCCATACGTGCACCGAGGCGGTCGATGGGGGATATTTGGGCGACCGCAGCGGAACAGACGGAGATGAAGACGCCAGAGAAGAAGCCTTTGGAATTGTTAATACGGGAAAAGCAACGATCGTCATTGCGGGTTGACACTTGGAGTTCACTTACCGTAGGTGCAGGCAAAAACGATCAATGGTGCTGCGCTACGAGAGGGGAGCCAGAGAGCTAGACAGACTATTCCGGAGATTAGTGTGCTGGGACAGAGTACGTTCATTCGTCCGTAACGATCTGCGAGTTGCCCGCCGCTGGGAAGATGTTAGCTGATGTATTCGTAAAGTCGAGGGGACCTACATGATCCGTCCAAAGAATGATAGACCGTTTATCATGGATAGCAGGTAGGTATGAACGGAGGCGGGTACTCCATATTGGATCGCAAACGGTTCTGCATGGGATGAAATTTAGTCAATTGCGAATCAAAGTACGTTTCATGGTCATACCGATATAATAGTAAGGTGAATAGAGCCCGAGGTTCACCAGAACAGATCCAATGGCGAGAGTGAGATATCTCGGATCCTTGAACCCACCGAGATCGACGAGCTTACTGGGCGTTGGAAGTGGCTTGCTAGGCAACCTGGTGCGAGAGATGAGTATGGCTACGGCATAACAAAATCTGTGAAAAGCAGATAAGCATCAGTGTTCGTCTAATATGATAGGCAGAAGCCATGTGATTGGTATGATACTTACAGCGTAAGTAATGCAGCGACTCTTACCGTCCATGCTGCATTAACAGATTACAGGTCTCAGATAACTACGTTGGGGGGAAGACCTGAAGTGTTACTCCTACCGAAACCAATCATGTTGAAGAGACGTTGAACCATGATGGGGAGGCAGACACCGCCGACACTGCTGCCGGCTGCGACGATGCCCATTGCGAGAGCGCGTTGCTTCTTGAAGTATTGTCCGACTACTGCTAGCGCAGGATACGTACCAAAGCCGACGACAAGGCCGAATAAGACACCCTGTGTTAACGTTATTAACCTTCCTCGCATTGTATGAGTAGATAGAACACCGTCTACCTGAGAGAGAAATTGTTGCCAGATGTGCTGCGAGCGGGTGAAAGACAGGGCTACCAGGGATAGAACGCTACCCAATGCCCCGATAGGGTAGAGGTACTAGAGTAGCGTTGATATCTAGGCAAGTTGGTGGGTCGTGTGTCACCTACCTTGAGTCCAAGCGCATCAAACATGGGGCCTATAACAATTCCAAGAACGTAGAGAAGTGTGATCTGCAGAGCTCCAATGAACGCAATTGCGGTAGCACTATAGTTCGAAAGGTAGCTATCGAGGTAGAATGTCTGCCGTACGTGAATCAACGATACTGACACATGCGAGCGTCGATCATAACATGCAGTAACTCACCTGGAATGCGCCAAAGCTGTTGATTACTCCA